CCCACCCCCTGCAACTTTCCACCACAGCCACCATGAGAAATGACTATTGAAAAGGTGCTTTCAGTTTGCGGAGGTGTTCAGCGTAAAACAACCATTCAAATTACACAGGAAGGCGAAATTGTCACAAATGTGAAATGGTTTTACATAGAACAAAGAGAAAAAATGCCACAAAGGATTGCTAGGGAAAAATGTTTCCGTCCCTTTTGGCAAATATCTAATCACTACCAAGATGATTTCTCTTTCTTTTTTTTACCCAGACAGGTAGCTCTATAATTAATTTAATTTGAGAGTTGGGGCTGTTGTTCACTCAATTAGGCATCTGCTTCTGTCCCCACCATTTTAATGACAGCCAACTTGCCTGAGGCCATTATGACTTGCGTAGAATTGCGAACAGCTAATAAAGCCCCCATAGACATGGTGATTATGTTTTCTCTTTGGAGAGAGAGAGAGGGGGGAACAAAACATGTTTTGATCTCTTCTGTTTCAGGAGCCTTTGATATTATTAGCATTTTTTTATTCAAAGGACATTAAAAAAAATATCTTCTGAATGGCTCTTGAATGCATTTTAGGCCCCACCTGCACTAAAAATTTAAAGCAGTATCATACCACTTTAAGCAGCTGTGGGTTTTGGCAAAGAACCCTGGGAGCTGTAGTTTGTTAAGGGTTCAGAGAGCTGTTAGGACACACTATTCCCCCCACAAACCTCCAGTTCCCAGATTTTCCTGGGAAGGGGCAATCAATAGTGAAATCACTCTGAGAACTGTAGCTCTGTAAGGGGAATAGGGTTCTCCTATCAACTCTCAGCACCCTGAACGAACTCCAGTTCCCAGGAATCTTCAGGGGAAAGCCCTGCTCTATCCTGCACCAAAGCAAACATCCATTCCAGCCTAGCAAAAACACTCAAGGAGGTTCAGAGCTAGGCCAGTGAGGGAGCTTGAAATATACTCAGAGTCAAGAGTGGATTTCATTTCTTTATTCAGCTCATAGTGGTGAGGAGGAATGGAAGTTCCCCCACAGTATCTGCCTTATACAGTGGTGCCTCGCAAGACGAAATTAATTCGTTCCGCGAGTTTTGTCGTCTTGTGATTTTTTTCGTCTTGCGAAGCACGGTGTTGGGAAAGTTTTGGAAAAGCTTCAAAAATCACCAAAGTCTTTAAAAACCTCAAAAAAGGCTACCACACCGCATTCTATGAGTTGCTCCTCGAAGTCACAACTGTATTAACGGTGTTAAGAAAAAGGAAACAAACTTGCAAGACGTTTCCGTCTTGCGAAGCAAGCCCATAGGGAAAATCGTCTTGCGAAGCAGCTCAAAAAACAAAAAACCCTTTCGTCTAGCGAGTTTTTGTCTTGTGAGGCATTCGTCTTGCGAGGTACCACTGTATACATTATTTACACAATGGGCTGCACGTGATTGGCTAATTCCATAATTCTCCTGTAGGCCAATCAGGTTGTGGATTCACTCCCATCTGGAGCTGGATTGGGTGGCTCCTGTGGACCAATCATACTGCTGCATTGTTCTAGGACCAATCAGACTGCTGAATTCTGAATCCTATTGTTCTAGGACCAATCAGACTGCTGCATTTTGGATCCTATTGTTCTAGGACCAATCAGACTGCTGCATTTTGGATCCTATTCAACTCAGTACATAACAGAGCGTGACCTGGTGTGGGTTCCCAGGGTCAAATATTTGGCTCCTTCGTTCCCCATCCCTGGTGTATCTGTTTACACAATAGCTTCTCAGTCATACATCCAGCCTGACCTCTCATGTTCGCAGTGCTGTTTGCCTGCCATCAGCAGATAGAATGCTTGAGGATACCTTCCAACATTCCTCAGAAGCAAATAGGGACATTTCTCATGCCTCCTCCCACTGACCCTCCTTGACCTCCCATTTTTGTCGTCCCCCCCTTCACAGAGCATTTCCTATCAGAAGAAGAGCAAGTGCTGCCTCCACAACACCAATGGGACACACTCTCCACTGTCCTGAGAAAACCCCTTGATCCCATTATATATATATATATATACATATATATATATATATATATAAAATTTGGTAGATTTGCAAAAAGACACACCAATAGGTAAATTTTAGAAAGGGGCAACATTAGACAGAGACACACAAAGCATTCTTTTTTAAAAATATAAAAATCAAGACTCCTTGCTCTCCACTTTGCTCCCCCTTTCTCCCCACCCACGGTGGCCCTGCCCTCTGCCTGCCCCTCAGAGCCAGCACAGGGGGTCGGGTCTTGGCAATGGCAGCCTCTCGCCCTCACCTGCTCTTCAGCAGCCCCACGAGCTATCCTAGGGAGGAGGCCAGCAGTGGCAGCCATGGAGAGGCAATGGGATGCTCTCTCATAGCCGCGGCCACCATTCAGGGCAAGTGTCAGTTCCCTCTCCTCCCCAAGCTTGGCACTGGCACTGGCAGAGGTAATAGGGACATTCCAGGATCAAATCAGCAGCTCTGGTGGCTTTCATAATTCCAGGACTGTCCCTGGGAAATCAGGACACTTGGAGGGTAAGTTTGAGAAACCGATGGCGAAGGCCCTCCCCTGCAAGGCTTAGCTTACTGTAAGGTTTATTAGCTTTTGATTTCAAAGACCAAATTGGAGTCCCTCCTTATATCCAGCAAATTAAACACATCATGCTGCTGAGATGAAAAGCATTGGCAGTCATATTTGCTGAGATAATGTTCGCCCAATGCAAACAAGCAGAGAAGAAATAATAATAATAAAAATACTATTAAGACTTTCATGCAATGAACAGCAGCTTTTCTGAAACAGATAAGCCATTAAAGATCATTGTTGGAAGAGGCAAAACGTGCATTCCCATTATGTTGCATAAAAGCTAAAACGCAAGTTAAATTATTCAGCTCATAGTAAAGAAGAGGAATTCTCATGAATGCTTCAATTTAATAAGCACTCATTAATTCCTCTGCTGTTCACACTGAGATAGGAAAGTGAGCACACTCTTCTGAGTAACTGTGAGGAGCAAAATCTGAACCAGCACCATATTTTCAAGCAAACCTGGGCAAGCTGCCCTAAGTGACCCCCCAAGAACCAACTGGACACTCCCTTAGCATCTACCACAACTTGGAGGGAGCCTAGCAGTGATACTGATGCAGTCACTAACCATGTCCCCGCCCCCCACATATAAGTAGGCTTACCTGGTAACAGTAGGACTGTAATGGGATGGTTACAGTACCATTTCAGCCAGATGAGCCCATGAGTTCTCATGTAGGGGAGGCTGGTGGCTGTAGCAGCACCACTAGATGCCCCCTATGAGAGCAGAAACTGTGTCAGCTCCAGTGGGATGTTTGCTTACTTGTCTCACATCTGGAACAGGAATCAATCCAACAAACACAATTGCTATTTGCCATTGTTGCTGCTTTCAGTCCACAAATGGGAAATAATGGATTACATAGCAAACAACAACTGATAAAACAATACCAACCTATTGAAAAATGAGATTAAGGGGGTGGGATAACATAATGTCAATGTAACTTGCCCAGTTATTTGCATACGTTATGGAATTTCACCATAAGGAAGGCAGTGTGGTGGATAGCGTCGTTTTGGGTGGAAGATCAACTGCAGCAGAATGGAAACAGAGCTGCATGGAATGACTAGAGGGCAGAACAGACAATGATGCCTTCTAACATCCCTACTCTTGACCCAGTTTGGATAGGTGAGCTGTTCTCAGTTAATAAGAGAAAGGTTTTGAGAAAGTATTTGTCACTAGATGTAGAGAGGAAGGTATTTCTGAGACATGATGGGCTATTACTAGCTCTTCTTGCTCAGCAGGGCTGGCAGCACAGCATTTGACCATTCATCAGGTTGTCTTCATCTAACCCCAATAAATGACAATCTTATTCCAACCCAGTCAGGCAGCCAGGGGAGAAACATATTGGAAGATTTACTGAGTCATTACCTTGGGCGTAGATTTAAATGAAATTTACTGGCTTGGTAAATGGTTTCAGGGCTGTAGGCCTAGAGCTCCTGCTATAAATCATATGTGACGCAGGGTATTTTTTGGGAGGAGATTCTTTGACCGTGATTTCCTTTGGTGTTCTTAAGCAAGTTGGGTTCTTTCAACTAATATGGTGCTTCTCTAGTCTGCCATAGCAAAATTCTGTAAGTGAAAATAATAATAGTAAAAAACAAGAGTTTCCTCAAATGTAGCAATGTGTTCACCCAGTGGCCCTAGGCTACCTTTGGTGGAAGGTATGTGTATGTTAGAAATAATCTTACCTCTTTGACAGTCACTTTATTCCCTAAACCACAGCAACAGGGTCACCTTGGGGGGAGCCTTCCTTATTTGCAATCTATTGCAGAATTGCTTTGACATTCTGCAAGTCACCCCCCAATATTGGCTTAAGTGGGAAACCAGCAAGCAGGACCCAAGCACAAGAGCAGGGGCATAGGAAGGGGGTGCAGGGGGTGCGGCCTGCCCCGGGTGTTCACCCCTGAGGGGGTGACAAAATGGCATACCACAGGGGGGTGGCACTTATTGCAGGGCCTGGCCTGCAACACGCCTGAGCCACACGTCTCTCCTAGGAGTAATGCGGTGGCTTGGGGCCCTGCGCTGCCCGAAACAGCAGTGTGGGGCTTGCATCCTTCCTGGGTGGATCACCACAGTGCCCCCCGCCCTGGGCAGAGCACGGATCACCACGGCACCCCGTGCACAGCTTGCCCCGCCCCCACCACTCTGGGTGCTGGAGCAGCTAACTACGCCCGTGCACAAAAGCACTCTCCCCCTTCTGCAATTCCCAGTAGCTGGCATTCACACACACACATCTGCATCCAGTTCAAAGCCCGGCAATTGTTTAAAACACTTTGTCTTTTACGTACAACATGCCTCAAGAAGTCTAACCCTCTTGTTGACTGGCCAAAGATAACTTCTCTTATACTTTTCAGGTACCACTGAGGAATTTGCCCACTGTGATCCAACCGTCTTGATCTTCTGAGGGTCTCCCCTCCCCTTCCTCCATGACGTAAATGTAAGCAGAAATGGGAAAGATCGACACCACATCCGTGGAGCTGAACTCGCCTTCTGAGATGAAGGAAGCTGCCCTAGAGGAGTCGGAGGAGCCCATTGACTCAGAAAGCAAATACGCAAGCAAGAAGAAAAAGGAGGTCCCGGACAGAGGATCTTGGAAAGGCAAATTCGACTTCCTGCTCTCCTGCATAGGATATGCCATTGGCTTAGGGAATGTTTGGCGTTTCCCATATCTCTGTGGCAAGAATGGAGGAGGTGAGATTGACCTGATCAAGACTTTGTTTACTCATTGCAGTCATTTCTACCCCACATTTCAGGATATAAATCCTACTCAAATTTATTATTCAATTATATATTTTCACTTGACAGTTGATAGAAGATGGAGGTGATGAGCCGCTTCCTATGTTCCTATGCCTCACGCTCTCTCACGGTTTCAGAATGTTTACAGACCAGTCCTAGATGCAGGGCTGGCCCAAGACATGTCAGCGCCTGAGGCGAACCACAAAATCCTTCAGATACCTATACTGGGCTGAGGCCGTTTAGGGCTTTAAAGGTCAACACCAACACTTTGAAAGGTGGAGAATCAAATCAAACTTACCCAACAGCTGAAGTGGCAATCAAAGGCCACTGTGGCAGTGTGGGCACTCTGAATCATGCCAGGTGAGTGCAGAGTAGACCCCAAAGGGCAACCCCTCTCATTTCTTCCTTAGGAGGGGACCAGCAACACCTCCTATTCACTGAGAGGCTGCTGTAGGGACAGCTCTTGCTGCTGAGGAGATGGAATATCTTGCCTCCAAGGAGCATAGCGCAGCTGTCGCTGCCACCACAGTAGTGGCAGCAACAAGTAATGCATTCCTTAGAGGATGGATCTGCTGCCCCTGTGCATCCTGCTGCCTGAGGCAGTCACCTCTCCTTGCCTCATGAGTGAGCCGGCCTTGCCTAGATATGTTTACTCACAAGTGAGTCTCTCTCACTGACGAGATCTTCCTCCAAAGAGGTGTGCAGGGGCTTAAAGGGGCACAAAAGACTTCCAAAGTGCAATCAAGCCAACACCCAACTGAAAATCTCAAGCAAGGCTCTGTGGCTGCTCTTGAAGAAAAAGAATCCGTCTCCTCAGTTCCAGGCTCTATTGCTCCTAATTTTTCTTAATGTAATTTGCCTACTTACTTTAATTATATCATTGCCTCTCCATCTGTTACTAAATCAGTTCCAATTAGGGTTGCCATCATTCAGTGGCCATGTGTCCTACTTTACAGAGGACAGCCCTCTGCTTGAAGGTGTCCTCTATATGATGGTCCATTTTAAAGAACCACCAGAAGGGAGAGGAGACAGGGGCCTTGAAGTTGCCCATCAACAGTTAGCAGCTAGACAGCAGACTGAGCAAGCACACAGGTCACCTGCTCACCTTCTTCACTACTATGGCAAATGTTTTGTGCTTCGATTCAAGCTATAGTCAGTATTTATGAATTTGCATCTACACATGCAAAGTTAACATATTCAATTCAGCACCTTGCTTTGTCTTCTTCTGGCGATGAATTTCTTCTTTCTGGTTGATGGCGTAACTAGCCAGCCTAGAGCCATTCCCGACCTAGAGGGCATCCTTTTCCCTTCCCTTTTGTGATTGCGCAGAAGAAAACACTGCAGCAGTCATGAGTTTTCTTGTCATGTCTGAAGCAGTTGATCAAATTGGCTTTAAAATGTTTTATCTACCACAAGCTAATGCGCAAGTATGGAGAGGGATTTGCCGTAAATCTGAGCAATGTGCTGTGAGTGTGATTTAGAGTTTCTATAAGGAAGCTACACAGCTTCTCTTGCTGGAATTATGATTTCTGAGAAGTGTTTATCTTGCTTACTTGACAAAATTCATAAGGTACTTACAAAAATATTTTAAAAAAACTTTAAAATGCATAAAATTATCAAGTCCAAGAGCAGCATTCCAACAGAAGAACTATGTTGAATCTATGTAGACGGCTGCCATTGAAATATGGCTGTTTTGCTTCCCTGGTAAGTTTAATGGCTGTGTGAAAGCAAAAAATCAGCAGGGAAACTGGTGCATCTTGTATAAACTGAACTACCCTGTGATAGGAACATAGGAAGCTTCCTTAAGTCAGGTGAGGCTAATTTGTTCAGCTAGTCTAATACTGCATACTCTGACTGGCAGAGACTCTCCAGGGTCTCAGGCAGAGGCTTCTATCTCCTGCTATCTGATCTTTTCAATTGGACATGTCTGGGATTAATACTGGGTCCTACTTCTGTTTTCAAATACTATGGTGCCTCCCTTAGACTTTCCAGAGAGAGGGGCAGCAATTTCAATCCAGTTCTTTCTGGTCCAGCTCCAACGCTCTTATCTACTACACCCTCTGTTTTACTATAATTTTTTCCTCTAGATTTCTTTTTACCAAAGCAATCTGGGTAGAAAATGCAGGTACAAGGCTGAAAGAAGGATCTTTAAGTGGGAATAAAGGCCGTTGTGCAAAAACAGGCCAGTTGAACTTCCAGTTAACAGAAAAGATGGAGATTTCAGAAGGTGGACATGGCCACATTTTTGCAAACAATGTGAAGTTCCTGAGAGTCTGGATAGCTTTGTTCAGACCTTGCAAATAGTGCTATGGAAATGGAAAGACAATGTTGCAACCCCCCCTGCCTTTTTTATATTCTTCTCAATAAGTAGAACCAGACTGGCAGTCATCGCTGTATTAATTAGGAATCATTTGTGTTACCATTTGCATTAACGGCTGCAGATCTAATTTCTTACCTCGGCGCTTCCAAAGGCCAGTTTCATACTGGAATCTTTGTTATGCTAGGCACACAGAGCCCTCCATTTCTAGCCAAACAGGGTAAGATAATAAAAAAAGAATCAAACCAGAAGGAATTTCCAGGCACACAAAGCCTTCCATCAAGATGTAAATTATAAACGAAGGGCAATTCAAGACTGTCACATTTTCAGGAGGGCAACCAATCATATACTGGCAAATTCAAGTGGCATAATGGGAGCTGATTTGGAGCTTTTGTGCAAGGAGCGTGCTTCCCTCAGAAATCTCCCCCCTGGAAAGTGAAAGAGAACACTTGCTTGGTGCAACATCATCTAACCTGACCACAAATAAAACAGGTTGAATACTCCATAAAGAGGTCATTTGGAAGTGACCTAAATTAATAATACATGTTAGACATTTATTAAAAAAAATAAAAAAAAATGTTCAGTAGCATCTTAGAGACCAACTAAGTTTGTTATTGGTATGAGCTTTTGTGTGCATGGAAAGAAGTGGACAATTTTTATATTTTTTTAATATATATTTCTACTGCATCAGACCAACATGGCCTGAATGTTAGACATTTATCCACTTTTCTTCTTCGAAGGAGAAGAAGCAAAAACCAGAGAAGTTTCCATAAGCTTCCTGGGATGTCTCTGTCCCACCCACTGCAGTAAAACTAATAAGAAAAATTGAAAGGGGTGGGAAGTAGCAGGAGTGAATTTTGGAGGAAGCACTCAGGGACTGCAGTTAATAACAGAGTATTTGTCTTGCAGGAGGATTTTATTACATTTACAGCCCTGTTAAACACTTTACAGCCATGAACTGACTCTGTCAACTAACAGATAGTGAAGATTTTATAGCATTCTTATTAATATCAAAGTCAGGGGAGGGAGTCAATTTTAATGATGATGATGATGATCTCTCGTGTATACTTATAGATTTAGGGAAGGTTATATATACATTACAATAATCCTTTGGTCATCACTGGACAACAAATATTTTCTTAAACCAAAGATAAAATTATTTTATACTGTTTAAATGCCTGAAATATTAAGTTAAGACAGCACCATATAGCTGAAATCAACAGAGAGAGGCGGATATAGAAGGGAGAAATCAGAAAAAGTGAATAATACTTATGGATTTTCACCTTTTACTGTCCCTTAATGTCAATTTATGTCTCCTCTCATTCTCCTCCTTCTCCCCTTTTTAATATAGCAAAATAGAGCTATTTCACTAAAAGAAAAGAAAAAAGAGAGGAATTAAGCAACCAAACCACCTTCCAGGGAACAGGAGGTGACATAAAGGGGGAATTCAGAAAAGCTATTGAAGGGGCAATTAATGGGTTATTTGCAAATAATCCCACTGCCACACTCAACAGGAAGCAGAAAACTTTTAATTACTATTGGAAGGTATCTTTGTTTAATGAGACTTCATTTTGGATCAAAATCACAGCAAGAGCTTGTCCATGTTTGTGGCTGGTGCCAGAACAGAGCTAGACCTTTCATTCTGCTTCCAGCTGATAGATGAGGGAAAGGCAAGTTTCAGCTGTGGGGTAAAAGGCTCTAGCGAGGAAGCAAATTGTTAGAGAACTTGTAAGCAATTAAGCAAAATAAGAAGATGTTATCATACTGGCCAATGATCCTGCCAATATATATAAGAACACCTAACAGTCAGTGGAAAAGGGACGCGGGTGGCGCTGTGGGTTAAACCACAGAGCCTAGGGCTTGCTGATCAGGTTGGCGGTTCGAATCCCCGTGACGGGGTGAGCTCCTGTTGCTCGGTCCCAGCTCCTGCTAACCTAGCAGTTCGAAAGCACGTCAAAGTGCAAGTAGATAAATAGGTACCGCTCTGGTGGGAAGGTAAACGGCGTTTCCGTGCGCTGCTATGGTTTGCCACAAGCGGCTGAGTCATGCTGGCCACATGACCCGGAAACTGTACGCCGGCTCCCTCAGCCAATAAAGCGAGATGAGCACCGCAACCCCAGAGTCGTCTGCGACTGGACCTAATGGTCAGGGGTCCCTTTACCTTTACCTTTACCTTTACCTTTAACAGTCAATGGAGGTTAGTTCATTGGGGGGCAAATGGGGCACTATCCTACCCGCCCCCAACCTGCCTGCCTTCTTACTTACAACTAGTCAGGAGGGTTGTACTGTGTGCTAGTTTCTTCCTCTACTTTCCATGTTGCCCTTGTAGAACTCAGAAGGGAGGATGGTGGGGACAAAATTAGTTGGCTTAGTCTTTCATGGGCTCTGGCTCCACCTACTGTTGTCCTCCCTGCCTTCCACCCTCCTAGCCCTTATGGGCACCAGCTTCTACTGCTAATAGTCCACCCTGAGATTATAAACTAATGATGGGGAAACCTCTGGCCCTACTCATTTTTAGTTCTGGCTGTGACCACCACCGACAGATTACCCCAAAGGGAATGAAGCACTTATTATCAATGGGAAATATATATATTTCTAACAAGCTTTTTTTGCAGGTCTTGATGCACACATGGTTTACCAGCCATAACAAAGCAGATGCAGTGAGATGTTTTCCACTTTTTCCTCCAAGGTGCCTTCCTGATTCCCTATTTTCTGACATTGGTGTTTGCTGGGATCCCGCTTTTCCTGCTGGAGACAGCTCTTGGGCAATACACCTCAGTCGGTGGACTTGGAGTATGGAAACTTGCGCCCATGTTTAAAGGTACGTTGAGCTCATGACATTGATGCAAAATAAATAGGCCACAGGAATATCGGAAGCTGCTTTGTCAGGCAATCGGCCCATCTAGCTAAGGTGAGACTACCCACCTGAAAATGATGGCGATTGAAGCAAGGACCTTCTGCATGTAAAGCAGTTGCCATACACTGAGCCACAGCCCTTCCCCATAGAGTTGCAGTGGATGTGAGCATTGGGCAAGGGGCACTGCAAACAGTTTGTTGCATACCTATGAGGCTGGAGACTTTAAGACCCTGAAAGCCACTGCATATATTGGCTCTGGCAGAAAGAATGGAATTTGGTCAGTAGAGACTTGTGCATTAGGACAAATAGGGCACTGATCCACCAACCTCAGTCTGTAACTCAGCCAGCCCCTGCCTGCCTGCTTGCCTTCTTACCTATGCCCAGTCCAAAGACGACCAGTCCAGGCAACAGTGGCTGTCAGCTTACTCTTCCCTAGACTTGATGTTGCTCTCATAGAACTCAACAGGGAGGAAGATGGGGACCAAATTATTTGGCTTTGCTTCTTGTTGGCTCTGGCTTTTGTTTGTACCTTTAATCATTTGCTGCCACCTATGCTTTGACAAAAAATCCTGAACTGACACCGTTCAACAATGCAGTGTCAAGTCTTCCAGGTCACTGCCATCCATCCCTACGGGGGGGGGGGGGAGGAGAGAGAAAGTTAACTCAGTTCACATTCAAAGGCAAACCTACATAATTTACACTTTCCAGCACAATATGTGAATCAAAACGCAGCCATCCTTTGAAATTTGCACTGCTCTGAATTTTGCAATGCAGTTCTCTAGCCGAATAATGTGTAAAAATGCATACATTAGTGAAAATAATGTCAAAATGCACTGTATTAGGAGAAACTGCTTTGTCAAAAAAGGGATGTGTTGGGGGGGTTCGCAGACAAATTTTTATGAAAACTTTTTTTAAAAAAATATCACAACTTGATGTAGAAATGTAGAACTGAACTTGAGCCTAGGAAAAATTGAAACTGAAATAAATCAGAATTGACAGATTTTCCCACCCCTACACCCTACCCATGTCAGCTTTGACACGACAGCTTCTCAATATACTATATTTCTTGTCTCTTAGGAGTGGGGCTGGCTGCAGTGGTTCTCTCGTTCTGGCTGAATATCTATTACATTGTCATTATTTCCTGGGCACTGTATTATCTCTTCAACTCTTTCACCGTGGTGAGTTTCTGCCATCCTCTCTGGTGAAGCACATGGATGGAGCAATGTATGCAAATTCCACCTTTGCACAGTACACTAGTTATTCCACAGTCATGCATCACTCTCTGTCCTCCTCCCAGGCATTATAAGGGACATTATCAGAGTTGAAGGATGCATTCCAGATGGGCAAAAACACTCAAGGGGTGTGTGGGAAGATGGGGCTGTGAAGGGCATTGCCTGGAGAAAATGGGTGTGGTGTGGAATGGGGCAGACAGAGAGGTTTGATCTGGAACCCTGGTATTGTGGGGTTCTTGGTCACAGAGAGGCTTCTTGGCTCAGTGCAAGAAGATAGGAGTGAAGTGGATGGGAATACTGGGAGTATGACCACCACCCTGCTAGCCATGCTATCATTCTCTGGTTTGGAACAAGGAATTGCTAGAGCAAATGTTATACAGTGGTAAAGGTAAAGGGACCCCTGACCATTAGGTCCAGTCGTGGCCGACTCTGGGCTTGCGTCGCTCATCTCGCTTTATTGGCCGAGGGAGCTGGTGTACAGCTTCCGGGTCACGTGGCCAGCATGACTAAGCCGCTTCTGGTGAACCAGAGCAGCACACGGAAACGCCGTTTAGCTTCCCGCCAGAGTGGCACCTATTTATCTACTTGCACTTTGACGTGCTTTCGAACTGCTAGGTTGGCAGGAGCAGGGACCGAGCAACGGGAGCTCACCCCGTCGCGGGGATTCGAACCGCCAACCTTCTGATCGGCAAGTCCTAGGCTCTGTGGTTTAACCCACAGCACCACCCACGTCCCTATACAGTGGTACCTCGGGTTAAATACGCTTCAGGTTACATACGCTTCAGGTTACAGACTCCGCTAACCCAGAAATAGTACCTCGGGTTAAGAACTTTGCTTCAGGATGAGAAGAGAAATCGTGCTCCAGTGGTACAGCGGCAGCTGGAAGCCCCATTAGCTAAAGTGGTGCTTCAGGCTAAGAACAGTTTCAGGTTAAGAACGGATCTCCAGAACGGATTAAGTACCGTATTTTTCACCCTATAGGGCGCACTTTTCCCCCTCCAAAAATGAAGGGGAAATGTGTGTGCGTCCTATGGGGCGAATGCAGGCTTTCGCTGAAGCCTGGAGAGTGAGAGGGTCGGTGCGCACCGACCCTCTCGCTCTCCAGGCTTCAGGAGCACCGCAGCCTTGGGAGCCCCGCGGGAGTTCCCACGGGGCTCCCAAGGCTTGCACACAGCAGCCTGCAGCCCGAAACCTGGGGAGCGCAGCGCTGCACACCCTAGGCTTCGGGCAGATATCCGCAAGCCTGGGGAGACCAGTGTGACTTCCTGCCAGACTCCCTAGGCTTGCAGATAGCAGCCTGTTCTGGGGGCTGAGGTTGGGGGAAGCTCAGGCTTCCCCTTCCCCAGCCCCGCGCCTGGGGGGGGGGAAATAATTTTTTTCTTTATTCCCCCCCCCCAAAAAAAACCTAGGTGCGCCCTATGGGGCGAAAAATACGGTATGTAACCAGAGATACCACTGTAATGCAGTCACAGACCTGTTAAGAACAAAAGATTTAGTTGTAGAGTACATTGTGTTAAATATATGGCACATATAGAAAACAGGAAAGAGCAAAACAGTAACCATATTGACTTCTAGCACCTTATTTCTGAAGTATTTCAGGGGGGTGATGACCAGGGTTTGTTGGGTTCTTTCTCCACAACGCATTTCATGGCAGTGAAGCCATTCTGATCAACATAAAAGGCTCCTTTGAAAGATGACTCTCCATGCAATCAATAGACATACAAAGCATCTGTGCTTATTGCGCCCTGGGATTCCACTTTATTTAGACACACAGCTGCTAAGAGGCTGTGTGTGTATCTTGGGCTTCTGTCCACTTTAGGGCTTTTGTTTGACTGTGTTCCACAAACACCGGTGAAACATCTTGCCAAAATATTTGTATTGTTGAGCCACTTTGGAGCCATATGTCGATAGTCCCCAGAGCAAACCAGACACCTGCAACTTCTGCTCTTGTCACTTAAATGCCGCCTAGTCATTTGTACAGATTACATTGTCGGGGCTTTGGAGGATTTCCAAAACAGAACTTTAGATCGGGACTTTGCCCTCTCCTGAGCCCAGAATGGGTAGTGACAGTTTTACAATGGAACAATAGCTTATATTACAGGAGAATCTCTTGCGCCTCTGTTTGCCCACCTGCTGCCTTCTCCATTTTGCTGGCACAAGTGGCAGGAAATTGGGTTGCCCACCCATTGACAACCTCAAGCCTCCTGTGCACCTGACAGCTGCACCACAGGCAGAAATTCAACAGATGAAGCTGACCTTCACCCTCTCTGCTGACCTTTCCCCACTCAGGACCTGCCATGGCAGAGCTGTGGAAATGCCTGGAACACAGACCAATGCTTTTCCAACTACTCCCTCAATGACACCACCAACCTGACCAGCGCTGTGACGGAGTTCTGGGAGTACGTCCCCAGCCTAAGTCAGGTTTTGCCATCATTGGGGTCATCTCATCAGTGCAGGGGCTGGGGTGAGAAGGAAGGAGGGAGGGAGGGATGAAAAGGGTGGTGGGACTTTCTCATCCACCTTCTGTAGAAGTACCCTTATGTTGTTCTTGTTGTTGTTGTTGTTGTTGGCATCTGTCTGTCTTGGGAGACAATGTCGGAGAGTCCGCCTTCAGGGGTGAAGTCAAAGTGTAGGAAGGTTACAGCATCTGCCCCTACATCGCTCATATATAAACACAGTATTTGTGTTGCAAAAAAGGAGGAGAGCATCAAAACGCGGAATATAGACATTCTTGTTGTTGTTCTTAATATTTGGTTGGTGTTCTCCTTCCCCTCCCCAACCTCTGCTTTGGAGAAGGTTTGGTGTTGTCCTGAGCTAACCTCTGCCTGAGCAGGATAGAACCCCCACCAGGAGCAAGGCATGGTCTTGCTCCTCATCCCTGGCCAGCAAGTGCAGGTGGGACAGATCTCACAGCTTTACCCCTCCCTCAATTTGGGTTGATGGGGACCAGCAAGCTTCCTGCCAACATACCTCCACAATGGACAAGCTCAGGGCAGAGTCCTCTTGGGCATCTGCTCCATTGCACTGCCTGTATAGCATGAAGTTCCATCCTTGATTTTTTCTTTTACTTGACTGGCTAAGTGAAGGGCAAAAGAGAACCAGCACCCCTTCCCTAGACTGGCTTCTCCAAACCAAGTCTCCAAACCAGACCTGAAACTGGATTGAAATGGAACTAAGTTAAGCAGCAGCATCCAACATTGTCTGGGACTGAGAGGCTGTCTTTCTGTGCTCCCCTTGCTCTCTTCTGGACCGGGGGGGGGGAGATCTTTCACTGGATCCCTAAATGAATCCTAAAGGCTGCTGTCACTTTTGCCCAGGCAGTGTCCAAGTGTTCATGTTCTCCCCTTCATACCTCTTGGCATCCCATCTGACAGTCGGGTACATGTGAAACTAGACCCACTGAATTGTTTCCCCTCTCCCCTTAAAAAGAAAGCATGCCAGTTTGTCTTGGATTAGCTCAGCCTGCTGTTGCCCCTGACTCTACCCACAGTCGGCTTCATTTACCATTAGCTGCCCTACCCACCAGCCCCAATGGACATCAGTCACCATTGCAAATGACTCTCAGCCTCTGGAGAATCTAGTCATTCAGTCTCTCTGGATCTCAGTTGTTCCTATTTTCTCCCTGTTTTCTTGCAGGAGAAATATGCACCAGATCTCCGGAGGCCTGGGGGAACCGGGTAATATCCGCTGGCCTTTGGCTGGCACTCTGGCGTTGGCCTGGGTTCTGGTCTATTTCTCCATATGGAAAGGTGTTGAGTGGACCGGAAAGGTACTTCATGCTCATTGTGTTATCCAATACTACCTTTGATTGCTGCTTTCATTTGTTTATCTTGAAACTGAAATGTCCTCCAGGGTTTTTTCATTTTTTTATTTTGCCTGAGTGCCTATAATGAAGGTTTCTACCTTAAATAGGTGTTAGTAAATCTGCTCTCTCACAAAATTCAAATTTTGCTATATATCAGATGTTGTCAAATACTTATTGTTACTGCAGGTCAGCTGTTAGGTATTATCACATGCTGAACACTGCATATTGAATACTGTCAAATATTCAACTGCCACTGTATGTTAGCAGGCAGTTTGCATCCCATAATTACTAACAACTGAATCTGCTTTAGAATCTGACGTCTGCATATTTCTTCCCCCATCCTAATTTTGAGATACCTTTTTGGAGTGTGGTGCGGGTAAACTAGATTCAATTTTAACATTTAACAGCAGCTTCCAAAACCTTTCTCTCTGTTCTTCTTGCCTGTAGGTTGTCTACTTCTCCGCCACGTACCCTTACTTCATGCTTTTTATCCTGTTCTTCCGTGGAGTCACCTTGCCAGGAGCCAAGGAGGGAATCCTCTTTTACATCACGCCCGATTTCAGCAAACTCTCCAAGTCTGAGGTTTGTATTTTCATCTGATCCATGCGACAGGGGAACTAATTACCACTGCAGACAATAAACAGCCTGTTCTCCCGGCAAGTTCCTAGAATCTAAAATGGAAATAGGAATTGAATCATTTAGATCAACGCTTCCCAAAGAATGTTTTATAAATGCCCTGGTGCATCATGACACAGGACCACTTCTTGCTTGATATCTGTCATGTGGAGAATGCTGAAGATGTTGCCGCAGGCCAGCTGCTCCACCCCAACATCACAAAACAGACAAGCCATTAACAAGGGACGGTGGTTGCCTTCATACCCTGCTTGAGAGCTCACCAGAGGCTTCCATTTAGCTCCTGTCGGAAACAAAATGTAGATCTTTGGGCCAGTCCCACAGAGCTCTTCTTATGTGGGAAGGAACACAGTGCAGTGGTAGAACATGTGCTTCTCATGAAGAAGGTCTAAGGGCCAATCCCTGCCCTGCTGGCATCTCCTATTAAAAATATCAGGTACATAACACTATGGGAATCTCCCACCCAAGTGTTAAACCATTGCTCTGCCTAAGAACATGAGATGAGCTTGCTGGATTCAGCATCCTGTTTTCACAGTGGCCCAACCAGATGCCTATGGGAAACCCACAAGCAGGAACGAAACACAAGATCATTGTCGCTTTCTGCAGTTTCCAGAAACTGGTATTTAGAAGCATTTTGCCTTCAACTGTGGAGGCGGAATATAGTCATCCAGGCTAGTAGCTTCTCCTCCATGAAATTGTTCCAGTGCTCCAAGTTGGTGGCCATCCCATGGGAGCCAGTTGCATAGTCTAACTCCATGCTTTGTGAATGAGTAATTTATTTTGTCTGTTTCCCAACGTACAGCTTCATTAGATGTTCCCTACCATTGGGACGCGGGTGGCGCTGTGGGTTAAACCACAGAGCCTAGGACTTGCCAATCAGAAGGTCGGCGGTTCGAATCCCTGCGACGGGGTGAGCTCCCGTTGCTCAGTCCCAGCTCCTGCCAACCTAGCAGTTCGAAAGCACGTCAAAGTGCAAGTAGATAAATAGGTACCGCTGCGGCGGGAAGGTAAAACGGCGTTTCCGTGCGCTGCTCTGGTTCACCAGAAGCGGCTTAATCATGCTGGCCACATGACCCAGAAGCCGTACGCCGTCTCCCTCGGCCAATAAAGCGAGATGAGTGCCGCAACCCCAGAGTCGGCCACAACTGGACCTAATGGTCAGGGGTCCCTTTACCTTTACCTTTACCTTTACCATGGTACTATCTACACACTGACAGGCAGGGACTCTCCAAGGTTCTAGGCAATGGTACATCTAATCCCTTTCTAGACGATGTTCCTCTTATAGGATTTTAAACCATCTTCTTCCTTTTGTAGGTCTGGATGGATGCAGCCACGCAGATCTTTTTTTCCTATGGTCTGGGGTTGGGGTCTCTGATTGCCTTGGGAAGCTATAACACATTTCACAACAACGTTTACAGGTTTGTCATGTATACATTTATGTTCAATAATAATTCCAATAATGCTTTTTCAGAAGCGTTTAATATCACATTTGCAGATGTGGAAAGCACTTCACGTGAATTCATTCATTGCAATCCCAGCTGTTGTTTTTAATCCCATATTGCAGATGAGGCAGGGTGAGGGTAAAAGAAAGTAGTTTAGTCAAGGCCACCCTAGCCATCTCATGGTTGAGGTGAGATTTGAACCAAGGTTTATTTCCCCCTGACTGTATTTCCTGACTGATGATCGTTCAGCAGCACACAATCTTCCCAAAACGGGCAGCAGACTGCTATATGAGAACATTCCCATATCTGTGAGTGTTTTAAAATCCATCACTATCACCATTCTTGGTTCATTAGCAAAAGTTGTATAACAATTTCTATCTGGTCCTGTCTTCTCTGTGCCAGTCACTCCCAAACACTTAGGTTTTCCCCTGACACAATCTTTCCATTATGAGGAACCTTTCGCAGGGCCACTGAGCATCAGATGTTCCTTCAGATATGGGTTTGGCCTGCCCTCTGCTTATTCATAGGTAATATGTTTCCCAGGAGAGGCTGAAGAGATCTCAAACATTCACACGGAAAACCTCTTCAACCCAGTTTTCTCTTCTTAACCCATTAAGAAGAAACCCAGGCCTTGCTTAGAAACCTCAAGCTGAATTTCAGGCAGTCCATCCATGAAGAAACGATTTGTGGTGGCAATCAAGCTGCTGCATAAACACCAAACTGGGCCTTCCTCTTTGCTCTCATTTGTTCTGCCATCTCACTCTGTCTTCTTTGTGTAATGCTCTTTTGTTATAATTTCTGTTTTTGAACTCATTTATTCATTCATCCCTTTGTTCTATATTTCATCATGTTCCAAAGTACTGGGGCAGATAACTTTCAGGGTATTCAAATGGTGAGTCCCATGACAGGGTCTTCTCAGTAGTGGCTGCTATTATTATTATTATTATTATTATTAGTTGTTGTTGTTGTTGTTGTTGTTATTCCAGCAAGTTTTAAAATGTATGACAGTATTGCTGTAATAATTGTTCAGTTTATGACTTTATTGATTCATGATTTTTATATCTGAGAGTCACTTGGCTTGTAAACTCAGAAAAGTGGGATAAAAATTACTGGAACTAAAATAGATAGATAGATAGATAGATAGATAGCATTTATGGAATCAGAATGCCCTAGAACAATGAAAACAATCCTCTCTGTCCCAGACCAGTAAAAGGCAACATATTTTTTTCATTAGAAAAAATGCCTTGATGTATTGAAGGACACTCCAAAGTTGATGTTCCATGGCTGAGATCACCTCTCTGTCTGCACCTTTGCTGCCTTATTGTGCTACATAGGCAGGAAACGTAATACTTCTAGCTCCTCGTCTACTTCAGAGGTTGTGATGGAACAGAGCAGTTTGAGCTGGGCTCTCTGATTGGTTGGCCTCAGACTGTTTATTGGGCTTTGTAGGTCCTTCTTCACCAGTCCTCTCACAACCTGCACTGCATTCTGATATGCTACTGGGCCAAATTCAAGTTTCTGCTTTTGACCTACATAGTTTGGGATCTAACAGACCACCACCTCCTGTGCATGGCTGCCTGCATGCTAACATTATCTACAGTTCCACCATTTGGTGAAGACATGAGAGTGGATATTCCTACTAGAGGTACCTAGATTGTAGAACCTCCTCCTGAAAGTGGTTGGCTCCCTCTCTTTTATGTTTTAGGAGCACCTCAGATTTTTCTATTCCATCATGCCTTTAATCTATTTTAACCAGCTGAAGTGGCAGTGTAAACTGGCCCATTTCCCTCACGCCCTCATGCCCTCAGGCTGCTGTTTTAACGATTTGACTTATATTGTGCTTGGTTTCATCTCATTATTTTTATTGCATTTTTTGTGTTTTAATCTGGAAGCCACCCTAAGGCTGAAAAGCAATGCAGAAAATACATACATATATTTTCTCTCTCTCTCTTCTCCCCCTCCAGAGACTCCATAATTGTTTGTGGCATAAATTCTTCAACAAGCATATTTGCAGGATTTGTTATTTTCTCCATCGTCGGCTTCATGGCCCACATCACCAAGAAGTCAATAGCTGAATTGGCATCCTCAGGTACAATCTCTTCAATAGGGAATGTGAGCCGGTACAGTCAAGGAGCATAAGTTTGGCAGCACTGTGGAAACTAAACTTCAGGCATTTCTATAAAAAAATGGACTATTTTGTGGGGGAATGGCTGCAGTTGTTCTTTGCTGAAGGAAAGGCTAGTCCGTTGAGAGCAGACTGAGGTTGGTGAAGCAGTGCTCCATTTGCCATCATGGACCATCTTGCACCATAATACACATGTTCAGAGGTACTTCATTGTATAATATTTATATCTGTTAATCAGGCACAATCATGGTGGTGCTCCAAGATTCACATCCCTGCAAGAGTTTTTTTATCATCATTTGCTTGCAAAAACGAACTTCTTCAATGAAATGCAGCTGCATTTGCATTTATTTATTATCTGTACTTACAGTTTGCCCTTCACCAAATGATCCCATAGCAAATTACAAAGATGTTATTAAAAAAAGGACTCCTCCATTTGCCTGCCACTGAGATGGATGCAATAAGGGCCATCTTTTCTTCATATACTGTCAGATAGCAGATCTACTTTGACAAGAACCCTACTTAGCCATTGAATCACAATTGGTTTTGTCAGCTTTCTTGACACCTGGTTAATATAATATTGACAGCGATCAAAGAGTTTACAACAGGGGTAGGCAACCTAAGCCCCTTGGGCCGGATGCGGCCCAATTGCCTTCTCAATCCGGCCCGCGGACGGTCCGGGAATCAGCGTGGTTTTTACATGAGTAGATTGTGTCTTTTTATTTAAAATGCATCTCTGGGTTATTTGTGGGGAATAGGAATTCGTTCATTTCCCCCCTCAAAATATAGTCCGGCCCGCCACATGGTCTGAGGGACAGTGGACTGGCCCACGGCTGAAAAAGGTTGCTGACCCTTGGTTTACAACATGAAATGTTTATCGAAGATTGAATCCCATCAGTCCAAATCTTAAAGAGAGCCCAAATTAAGATTAAGCCCAATTATCTGATCTGTTACTTCCAGATGTTGTTGCCAGTATCCCTGCTCCAAGCGACAATTCCATCTCACACCACTGAACATTTTGACAGAAGGGAAAATGCTTGTGGAAAGTACAACTGACCATAACTCAGTAAACACTTAAGAGATGCATTAATGTGCTCACCCTGCTGTGACTTGTGCCTGACTCATATCACAAAATAAAACCATAACCATTCATTGCGTCCTTGGTGGCTACAGGTCCAGGACTGGCTTTCCTTGCCTACCCGCAGGTCGTCACGCAGCTGCCCATGTCTCCACTCTGGTCGATCCTCTTCTTTTCAATGCTAATGATGCTTGGCCTTGACAGCCAGGTAAGGATAACCCATTAAAAATAACATCATGTTTGGCTGTGCAGTAAGAAGAGCCCTGCTGGATCAGATTAAAGCCCACAAGCAGGTCATGAGTGCAATAGAACCCTCCTGCAACTATTTGAACAGAGGCATGGTGCCTCTGATCCTGGAGTTAGGATAGCCTTATATTCCATGGACTTGTCTTATGCCATCTAAGTTGGTGGCCATCACCACTGTTTTTCCAGGTGGAAGTTCTGTAGCAACAGGCTGTACTAATTCCCTTCCCTTCTCTATAATCATCCCCTTCTTAGCAGGGTCAACATAAACTGGTGTAGCAAGAGATAATTAAAAGAAAATGGAAGTTAATAATTAGTTATAAACGGGATATGCAATAGTAAAAAAGATATAAAATAAGTAATTGCAGAAAGGAAGGGAAGGAAGTTGAAGAAAACACAATGTATGGAGTGGCAGACAAAAATGGTTGAATATGTAGAATTAGCAAAACTAACACATAGGATTCGGAACCAAGAGGAAACAAAGTTCAAAAAGGAGTGGAGTAAATTTGCTGAATATATAAGTAATAACTGTAGAAGTTTAAAGACTGTAGTAGGATTAAAATAAATTTTGTGATGTGTATAGAATGTAATTAAGAATCTTCGGGAAAAGAGAATAACACAAAAACCTGTTGAAGGGAGGGAGGGAAGTCCGCACGCGAAAGAGCGTTTAGAAAATAAGTAGACTATGATTGTGGAATATTGGAGTCTTTATTTTGTTTGTTTGTGCTTACGAAAACTCAATAAAAAGCATTTAAAAAGAAGAAGAAGAAAACACAATGTAAAGATTGTTTTTCTGTTTAAATTTATGTAAAATGAGAAAATAGAAGAATAAAATATGGGGGGGGGGAATCATCCCCTTTGCATGGGTCAAGCTCCTTTGGCCCACAGGGGCTTCCTGTCAGAAGCCACAAGCTTCTGATCCCAAGGACCTGCCTCCCTTATCATGAATCTTTGATCAGCAACAGTCCACCTCTGTACTTCTGCTGCTAATTCCCAGGCCATCTCATCACGTTGCTGAACCCTTATATTTAGGATCTTTCCCCTAAATTTGCTTGCCTGAAATTCGAGCTCCAGTGCTTTGATGACAAATAAAATAAATAAGCAATGCAAAATCAGTGAGGCCTTCATAGTTGCTTATGTACCTGAAATGTAAGTGTATGATAACTCTCCATTCTTGCTCTGGACAGGAACTCATTTTTTTTCAATGACAGGCTAAGACTGAGTTCTCTAGAGATGAGGGCTGGAGGCATGAAATTGGTGCTTCCTTTGGAATCTACCACCTCAAGCTACTGCTTCACATAGCTTTGTGGTGAGATTATTCGCCCTGTATAAACTGTGAATCAATCAACCCTAGACACCAACTAGAAATATAAAATATAATAATGTAGCTGCATCTCAGAACCTATCTACACATGCAGCAGAACCATGTGATGCAACTTCTCCCGGGCTGTACAATTCACACTGCAGATGAGGCAGGGGGATAAACTCCTTCTGTCAAATGTTCTGCTGTGAGGAGTGGGGGAGTCCTTGTACATAGAAAATTACCTGTTTTAGCTAACTTGCAACTCTTCTCCTCCACATTCTAATTTTACAGGCACAGTTTGAATGATTAAATGGGGTAGGCTTTTGCGGTGTGTATAGTAGCAGCTATTAAGGAATCCATGACAAATTGATTGGCTTTCAATTTTATATTGTATCCCAGCCTTTTAAGAGGAGTGTGTGTGTGTGTGTGTGTGTGTGTGTGTGTGAGTGTGAGTGTGTGTCCTTGCTTTCCCACAAACTCCATTTCTTTTCCATATATTGTGTTGGCTATTTATAATTTAATACTCCTAGGAGCTGCAGTTGTAGCTGAATTTGACCCAGTTCATAATTTAGAGACCTTTTAAAAATGACGCAAATGCTAACTGAACAGCTACTTTAATTCATTATATATATTTCTTATTCCACTAAATACCATTTTTCTTAAAGCATTTAATTTTACATGATTTTATCGAGTGCTGCTTGTTTCCCCAAGGTGCCTCTTGGATTCTTTTAAAGTGACAGCTCTCGCTAAGCTCTCAAACACTTCTAAAATTAATGACTTTTCGTGTTGCTTCTTAATCAGTTTGCACACAGAAGTGGCCCACAGGGTTGCGGCGTTCAAGAGTCCTTTTGAAGAGTGACATCTGAGAGCTGTCTGGAGTTGCCCCCTCTCAACCAGGCCCATTAGTATTACATATGTCATGACAAAGGCTTACCCCTGAAGCCTTTCGGGTTAAGAATTTGGGGGGGGGGGTTCCTCCGACAAACAGCTTGCCAATCAAACAATGGGTGGGGGCAAATGAAGCATTGTTGCAAAAATTATTTGTTCCTATAACAAGCATGGTAGCGAAATGAAATTAATGCCATCTTCTCTGTGGATTGCACATCTGTTGTTGGTAAAACAGATACACCATATGAGCAAATCCTCAGTTTAAATGGAGAGACCCTTCTCTGTGTCTTATGGAAGTTGAAGGCACAGTTGGTGGCAACAACCAACAGGGCCTTCTCAGTGTCTGCCCCAATACAGTGCCCTGTGAAGTATGGATGGTCTCTCCTCTGGTTGTCTTTCACCAGTTGAGAAATACATTTTTATTCTGTCATATTTTACCTGTGTGCTTTGCCTTTATTTGTTGATATCCAACTAAGAGTTCATTCAGACTTCTGTTTGTTCCATGACTGAAAATCTGAGAGATTTTAGTTTTGTTCCATTGCATTCCCTGGGAAAATCTGCTATGTACTGCTGAATCAGAAGGAACTTTATCTGCAGATTGATGTTGGTGTGTTTGATAAAAGGGGAAATGTAGGTAAAATAAAAGGAGAATTTCCTGGATGTCTAGGCTCAGTTTTGGGACATGTACTCTTTGGTGACAGAGCCCCGGCAGAGATTTAAAATTACAAAACATGCAACAAAGTAAGCATGGAAATATAGGTGGTTAGACCTTTAAAATATCCTAGTTTAAATTACTTCTTTTAACACAGAAACCCCCCCCACACACATTTTGTAGGTTAAAAATGGTTTACTTACAAACTGTTCAAATGTCAGATTCATGTGCTTTTCCATACAGCAGCAAGAAAAGACAGGCAGTATAACTTAGATTCCAAAATGGTAAAATTTTTTACATTATTTGTATAGAAACACAAAAATGACTTGCTTAAGCCATACGGTCTAAGCTTGGAGCATCCATCTTAGATTTCCTTACTGGTAATGGTGGAACCGGAGAGAACAAAGTATTTGGTAACCCTTCCTCCCACGGTGAGGGGAAGTGACCTAGCTAAGCATGGCAGGACAGTTTACTCTGTGGTCTTAACCCCTCCATGCTTCAATTAGACTTAAGCATGTTGGCTATACGAGGCTAATTTATCTCACAGACGTTTTGTTCCAATTCGGCAGTAAAAGTAGATTTTCCCAGAGAAAGTGGTGGGACAAAACTAAAACTTCTTGGGCCTGTGACTAGAAATCATGTGACAGTGTGGATGAACCCCAAGTTAGAGCAGACCTGCTGAACTCAATTAAGTTACTTAAGCCCATTGAGTTCAATGGGTCTGCTCTGTGCATGACTAACATTGGATATCACCACTGTATTTTTTTAGTGTTGTGTATTTAAAAATTGAGGGACGCGGGTGGCGCTGTGGGTTAAACCACAGAGCCTAGGATTTGCCGATCAGAAGGTCGGCGGTTCGAATCCCCGCGACGGAGTGAGCGCCCATTGCTTGGTCCCTGCTCCTGCCAACCTAGCAGTTTGAAAGCATGTCAAAGTGCAAGTAGATAAATAGGTACCGCTCCGGCAGGAAGGTAAACGACATTTCCGTGCGCTGCTCTGGTTTGCCAGAAGCGGCTTAGTCATGCTGGCCACATGACCCGGAAGCTGTACACCAGCTCCCTCGGCCAATAAAGTGAGATGAGCGCCGCAACCCCAGTCGACCACGACTGGACCTAATGGTCAGGGGCCCCTTTACCTTTATCTATTTAAAAATTATTGTAATTATAATATATTTTTTATATATTTTAAGACAATGTGATTTAAAAAATCTTATAGGCTTGCCCTGAGTGGCGCAAAGATGCTAGAAGTGTAGGGTAGAAATCTCCATATAAGTAAATAAAAATAAAATGCAGGTTTCCTAAATTCTCCTCATTCAAATTATAGTTTGCTATTTTTTAAATTAAATTTGTATACCACCCTTCATTTGTAGATCTCACGGTGGTTCTCAACATAAAAATACAAGATATAAACACAAAATAGGCAATAAAAACAAGAATAAAAATACCCCACCAAACAATAACCCCCTCCCTCTCTGCCCTGGGTGTGTAACAATGGTTTGCCTTAAACCAGGAAGCAAGGAAGGGAATTGCCATGAACATGTAATGGAAGGAGAAAGGAAGGGGAGCATACAAATTTGTGGCCCTTTGAACATTCTTTCTAATAGCATCAAACCACGGTTTCATGTTATGTCTGAACCAAGCTACTGTGTGGATTCAAAGGCCAATGTGAAAAGCTAAGGAGATACAGATTCAACAAGGAGGTTGCTGATGTATTCCTATTAATTTCTTCCTGCAGTTTTGCACGGTGGAAGGCTTCATCACAGCCCTGATGGATGAGTTTCCACATGTGCTGAGAGCTAGGAAGAAAATCTTTATTGCAGTGGTGTGCTTCATCTCTTACCTCATTGGATTCTCCAACATCACCCAGGTATTAAAAATGGTGCATACCCTTTTACTATTAGATGCTGATGATCTCTTAGTTTCAGTGCTTATTCAGGTGTGGATCCAGTATTCTAAGTCTTTTTTTGATGACAGATCTGTTATTCAAGGCCCAAACAAAGTAGGGAGCTCTAAGTAGGCAGCTGTTATCCATTTCAAGTCAGGGTGATCCTTCTGTTCTGGAGCTTTTGCTTGAATAGCATCTGGTGGCTTCTGTTCTTTGACTCTTGGATGGAGACAGAGTGTGCTTTCATCATTGCTTCTACATAGGGTCCCACAGCACCAGGCAGACAGAGCACAGTGCTCTTTCTGGCAGGGAGAAGGAGATGAAGCTCCCTGCTGGTATCCTTTCTTTGGTAAATGGCAGGGTCAGGTTGGTCTCCCGCTTGCTTCAGAGTTACTCCTGGGAGGCCTCCCAGTGCAGTGCAGTGGAGAAAACAGAGAGGAAGAGAAAGTCAAAGGTCAGAAGGAGAAGAAGAAGAAGAAGAAGAAGAGTAGTTTGGATTTGATATCCCGCTTTATCACTATCCAAAGGAGTCTCAAAGCAGCTAACATTCTCCTTTCCCTTCCTCCCCCACAACAACCACTCTGTGAGGTGAGTGGGGCTGAGAGACTTCAGAGAAGTGTGACTAGCCCAAGGTCACTCAGCAGCTGCATGTGGAGGAGCGGAGACACGAACCCGGTTCACCAGATTACGAGTCTACCGCTCTTAACCACACTGATTCTTGATTGGGACAACTGCAGTTACAGCAACATATAAAGCTACAATTGGAAAGGAGGGTTAAGGGGTTGAGCCAAAGACCCTGCAAAAAGAGTGGGTATCTAGCTCTCCATCCCAGTAAATACTGTAATCATGTAGAAAAAGCTGGAAAAGAGAAGTCCATAGCCGATGTCTGTAAAAGAGTAGACATGGGCCTTTTCTTCGGGCTAGTGGGCAGCCCTATAATCTCACTACCCTGGTCAAGCTACCATCCCAGAGGTCTTTGTGGAAATCCATGATGACTGGAATAAAACTGGAAGATACCAGAAATGTGTGGTTGCATTGCATGGGTTTCATTTTTTCCAGACAAAATGGCATGTCTAGGGAGAGCCCACATCAAGGATCAAGACCATGCCATAGAAGGAGTGAGGGATTCCACCCTTTCTTCCCCATAGCATGCTTCTGCGGGTGTAGGGCAGTATGCAAATTTTAGTAATAATAATAATAATAATAATAATAAATTAGAAGCTTGGGGATGGGTTTTCATTAAGATCATGGCAAGGGAGTCAATGTTGGGGACATCCTTCTCACATGGTGACGTCCAAGCCCTAATTGCTCTCCTATTTTGCAATACAAGCCTAGTATTTCCATTTTTAAAGAAATGAAAGAAAAACATGCACAACTTCTTGGCAGAATCTGTGACCAGGGAGAAGAGTCGATGGAGGAAGACTGGAAGAAATTTAAAGACTATCTTCAGAAATACTGCAAAATTAAAGAATGTTAGAGTGATGTTGGATTGAAAATAAGTGGTTTCCAGCTGTACAGGTTAAAGTTAAGGATAGATTAAGATTAAAGATCAAGATTAAAGATGTTTAAAGAAATGGAAATTTGATAATAAAAGGGAAAAATTTAAAGGTATATGACATTAAGAACAAGGATTAGGTTTAAAAAAAGTTGAAGTTATATATTTTAACACTTTATTAAATTAAAGATTGGGTTTAAAAAGTGGAAAAGAAATTGCTGGACAAATAATGTGGATTGGAATACAAAAGAGGGAGGTATGAGGAAGTCCAGAAAATAAGTAATTTAAAATGGGGAATGAAAAAGAGAGTTTGTTTTTAATTGTTACGTTTTGTGTTTTTATTGTTAAATTTTGTATTGTTTTTTTTTGTGTGTGTTGTTTTTCTTTTTTCTTTGTTTAAAACTTTAATAAAAAATTATTTAAAAAAAAAAAGAAAAACATGCACAACTTCTGTCCTGCAATGTTGTTCTTAACTGTCAAACCTGCACATGAGACAGTATTGCGAAGCTCCAGGCAAAAACCTCCCTTCAAATGAAATTCTTATAATTTCATTTGCTTTGCTTGCTCTCTAAGTGCATTAAGGGCTCATATTGTGTCCCCACAGGGTGGCATCTATGTTTTCAAGCTGTTTGATTATTACTCAGCCAGTGGCATGTGCCTGCTCTTCCTTGTCTTCTTCGAGACCATCTCCATCTCTTGGTGTTATGGTAAGTAAGTTGGCCCCTCTTTGCAAACTCCATCAGGGTCAGAATTGGGTTTCCATGGCACTTTGTGCTGGGCCAGCTTGTTTGCCTGACTGTCTGTCTGCTCACGCAATTCTGTACCACCAAAAGTGGCAACAATCACCTTAGGGATTCATCTGAATCCAAAGTACACCTCTCCTTCCATCCACTTAACAGATATTTCTGATTTCAGGTGTGAATAGATTTTATGGTAACATTGAAGAGATGATTGGTTATAAGCCCTGTGCATGGTGGAAGATCTGCTGGGCCTTCTTCACTCCACTTGTCTGCTTGGTAAGATGGTCAAACCTAAGAATCTCATTTCCAGGTCTGTGGTCTCTTTTTAAAGGGCCAAACTAGACAAGATGGTAAGTGCCAGTGTCATTAGTCCTTTGTTTGTGTTTCCTTTTAAAACAACAACAGCTGCAGCAGTGATTGAACTGGCTAGGAACTATGGGGTGTGGGAAGGGGGCCTTAGCCTTTAGATAGAGCTAGTTGTTCCTTTGTCTACATCTGAAATGTGACTACTAATTTTCCTATCCTCTGTGAACTTGTTTAATGAACTGCACAAGTTACACTGAAAGGAGATTGGATGGGTGCTATTACACAACCACCCCTGGTGCATGTTAAGAGTAGCTCCCTGGGCTGAGGGCAGTGGAGAAGTCATCTATGGAGAGTCTAGACCAGTTTTGCTATGTAGGTGCCCTTTAGACATTTTGGACTACCTCTGATGACTGTTGTGGTTCAAAACATCAGGAGGACAGCAGGTTGGCATGGTCTGGTCTAGAAGAAAGGTCAGCATCCTCAAACAAATCTGTTGCTTTCCGTGCCGTTGCTGAGCTGCAACATTTTCTTCTTCTCTTTGTTCAGGGCGTTTTCTTCTTCAGTGTGTTTGAAATGACTCCCCTGAGTCTAGGGAAATACGTTTATCCTGCTTGGGGCCAAGGGATTGGCTGGACCATGGCTTTGTCATCTATGGTCTTGATCCCAGGATATATGCTGTACTTCTTCTTCACTACAAAGGGAACGATCCAACAGGTAAGGGCAAATTGTATTGCCACTTTCCTTGGTGTTGACTGGAGACTTCATTGGAGCAAAACAAACAAATAACGAGCCATTTCACCACAGCAGTGACTCAGGTGCAGAGACACGCCACCAGCAAACTCAGCATGATGTATTTGTTGTTGGACAGTATGGAAATGCTATCTGTCTATTTATGGGCTTTATGTGCTCCCTTTCTGTCAAACACATGCCTTTCAAGGAGGTTGAGCAAAAGAGCATAAACACATTTTCATAAAAAACCAAACAACCATTGCAAAATAAAAGCAAAAAGCAGGATAAAAGCATTTATTTATTCTTAAAAGCAGCAATTAAGAAATCCAGCAGAAACACTAAGCCCAAACCACAGAGCAAACCAGGGAAACAAGGACATCAGATCTGGAAGCGTAGTGTAATAAATAACAATGAAAGAAGCCATGAACTTCCAGAAGCTCTGCTGAACAGGACAGACTTTGCCTGGCATCTAGAGCAAGAATGGGGGAACTGTGGCCATCAAGATGTTTTTAGAATCTGACTCCCATCATCCCTGACTTCTGCCCATGCTACCTGGGGCTCATGAAAGCCCAACGTCGTATGGAGGGCCTTAGGTCCTCATTCCCAGCCTAAAGGATCATAATGAAAGTGTCAGGCAGATCTCTTTGGGGAGGGAGTTCCATAGTTGGAATACAACCCCAGAAAATGCCCTCTCACTGGTAGCTAGACACCTGACCTTTGCAGACAACTGCAACTGAACTCAACTTCAACGAGTTCAGTTGTGCAGCAGATTCATATTGGAACAAATTGACTTTAGGTTTCTAGGGTTCTTTCTCAGCTTTCAAAGAGCTTCCCATTGATTGTGATATTACAGTGATAATAATGTCTCTGAAATATTTACAACCCTTTAGGCAGATCAATATTATTGTACACTTATTGCAGATACAGTGGTTGGTACGAAATAATAAGGTTATTGTGTGAGTTCACAGTGAGAGTGAGAATTGATCTTAAGATTTGTTGTTAGAACAACAACTTTCAGCCATTACCTTACACTAGCTTTTGCAGCCTAGAAAGTTCAGATAAACATGTGCTGATAATGTAGCATGGCTCTTTAGACTCAGACCTTCTCAGACACATTTTATCCTCATCATCTATCATCCCTCTTCATATCCTCAAAGCTATTCTTTAAGCTTCTTTCTGATTTTGGCAAAGACCTTCCGTTATCCAATAGAAAGCCCTTCCTTCTTGGAGGATTAAGTGGCTCAGGGGATTGTATGTGTTATGAATGTCTGACCTTTAGGCTACTGATTGCACTCTGTTGCAGGCTGATAGACATCATTTCTTAACCTTCATCAGGCTTGGCTCATATACTCTGAATGGCCCAGAACTCAACGAAAATTCATTTGTTGTTGGAGGAAATGATGCTCAGCCTATATATTTTGTACTTCCATGTTTGTACTGTGCACACATCGAATTTAGTAAATCAAAGACAGAATTCCTTATCCAGAGGATCTCAGATTTTGGAAGCTTTTTTCCTTTTCCTTTAAAAATCCTTGCCTCGGTGTTTAAAAGTGGCAGGACCAGGAAAGATGTCTGTTTGAGACCTTGGAAAACCACAACCTGCTAGCTACAGGAATGGAGGCAGATGGGCCAATAAATTAACTCAGTATGGCCAGGTATACACACATTTGGTTAAAGCATCCACATGAAACTGCTGAGCAGCATCATCTGGAGTTTTGGAGTATGCTGCCAGCAATATGCTGATGACACACAGCTCTAATTCTTCTTCACATCTGCAGGTGAGGCAGTGGATGTGCTAGATCAATGTCTTCTCTCAGCAATGGACTAGAGGAGAGCCAGTAAACTGAAGCTCAACCCACATAAGAATGAGGCACTGTTAGTGAGTGGTTTCTTTGATTGCATAGGTGGGGTCAACCTCTTCTAGATGGGGTTGACCTCCACCTGAAGGGGAAGGTACATGGCTTGTGGGTAGTTCTCAATCCATTATTGTTGCTTGAGGCCCAAGTGGCCTCTGCAACACAGAGTGCAATCCATCAGCTTCAGTACCCCTATCTGGATAGGACAGCTTCTGTTGCCCACACTCAGATAACCTCTATGTTGGGCTGTATCTGAAGACAGTTCAGATACTGCAACTGGACAAATTGTTGACCAAGACAAGGTAGTCTGAACATAGAACACCAATTCTGGCATGACTGTACTGGCTTCGCAATAGTTTCTGTTTGACAGTAGATCAGACTTTCTTGAAAGGTGGTGGACTCCCCTTCCTTGGAGGTTTTTAAGCAGAGGTTGGGTGGCCATCTGTCATGGATGCTTTAGTTGAGATTTCTGCATTGCAGGAGGTTGGACTAGATGACCCTCGGGGCACCTTATAACTCTACAAGTCTATGATTCTGTGACTCAAGGTGCTGGTTTTAATCTATAAAGCCTTATGGGGCTCATGATTTCAATACCTCAAGGACTGCCTCTCCACACATGAACCAATGCAGACCCTGCATTCATCTCTCAAGATATATATATACAAGATGTATATATATATACACAGCTTTTAGGCTTCTGCAGATGCAGATTTATACAGATATATACAAATATTACTCTAAATATGTTCAGCAATTCAAGACGCAATATCGGATAAGTAACACGGACTAACAGATAGACAACTGCAGACTCCTGGAAACTGGCATACATTAATCACAGATATAGTCGGGGCACTGGGCCATTACCATAACAACCAGATTGACTGACCCCGCACCTGTGATTAGCTCATCCATGGGGTGATTTGTGCTTAAGAAGGAAATCAACCCCTTCTTACATCCAGTTACTCCAAGAGGGGTGGGGAACCTCAGGCCTTGGGGCCAAATGCAGCCCTTCAAGCCTGTCTATCTGATCCTCAGGACTCTTCCCAGGCCACACCCACTCGGTGGGCCACACGCCTCACGAACCCTGCTCTGTGCTGCCCTTGAGCATTTTTGCGTGGCTGGAATTTGTTCTTGAACTCTGATCATGCTTCTTGCTCATCTAGATGGAGTGGGGATGTAAAGAAAGGATGTAAGCATCTCTGACTTCTGTGTGGCTGCAATGTAGGCTGAATCTGCTGTTCTACCCACTTTTGCCTCTATCCCACCACCACCACTGCTTTGTGGCCCCCAGAATGTTGCCCTCAAGCTGAAAAAAATCCCCCAACCCTAGTTAAAAGTAATCTTCCCTCTCTTTTTTTTTACATCACCATTTGTATTACGTTCCATTTCCATTACAAATCTGACTTTGAGAATATTTCAGAGAAATTCTAGGTTTAGGTCACCTTTACACATTTTAGGGTACAATGTCAGGCAATCCAAGGAAAAGAATGAAGACTTGATAACTGTTACATAGACACTGTCCCGAAATTTAGACACCTTCATCTTGACTCCATCATCTACATCCTGCTGAGAGAATAATTTAATACAATTCTGCTTAACTTTGATTTACCTTTCACCAGCCGAGGGGAGAGACGAATTCCAAACACAATAGTGTCAAGATCCATATATTTCCTCAAATGCTGCATCTTGCATTCATATGTGAGGTGGTGGTTGTAGAGAGAGAGAGACTGTTGATACAAAACCAGATTCCAATCAGTGCTTTGTTTATGCCAAATTTAGCCAGGGGGTTATGTTACTTCTGGTTAATTTGGCTTAACTTGACGAACTGAACCACATTTCTCCTTCATATCTGCAGCAGGGGCTATTTTGATTGGGGTGCCAGAAAATGAACTAGGGACATTCAGCAGGCTAACTAGATATTCAGCTCCTGAGTTTTGCCCTCCCCACCCCAACACCTCCAAAACTCATAAAGAGATTAGTGATAGTAAAGCAGATGCAAGGTGGCCATTGTCTGACAGTGTCTCCAAACTGAAACCAAAATGTTCCACAAGTACATTTTGGTTAGGAAAGCAGTCAGGGTGTCATGAGCGAGCCAGCAGTAAATCACACAAAGTAGATGAAGTTAACTCTTCATTAGAAAAACATGGTCTGCACAGGAGGCCTGAGGAGGACAGCAACTCTTTTTCGGCTGGTCTTGCCCCTATGAGGCCATTTGTGAAGACTGAAGGTCTTCCCACAGCTGTCTATGTCCTCTCCTCTCCTGGGTCCTTCCCAAGCAATCTGAGATTGCGCCTGCATGTAGATTGTGTCGATTGGGCACAGAGGGCAAGGGCAAGGAAGTGGACGGTGGTTTCCAAGAGAGGAGGAGGGGGTTGGCTGAGGGCATATTGTTTTCCCCCAGAAAATCTCCCTAAAATCAGCCCTGGAAGTAGCTCTGGGGAATCCCAACTAGGGAACAGAAACGAGGTATGAGCCAAGCTGAAGAATACAGAGGAAAGTGGAGGAAAGCAGTCAACTGTGAGAAAAATCCTTCCTAGCTGTAAATCTAATCGGAGACCCATTCAGCCGAAAGGCAGCTGCTGCCCTCCAAAGAGAAAGCTTCCTTGGACTCTTTGCACCTGTCCTGTGGAACTGAATAGTTACAGCAATGCAATACCTCCATTTATTGTGCCCAGACATTAGAAGAAATAGGGAGAAGATCGCTCTGTGCAGTTGAAAGAGGCTTTGATAGGAATTGCTCTTCTCTCTTTGTACAGTTCTCCCTATTCATTTTGCATAATTTGGTCCATATCAGAGCAAAAACACTATTACTGCAGGGCTGAGGCTAGCTGGTGAGGTCAGGCTGATCTTATGTGAGGACAATAAATAAGTGTGTCTAGAAGAAAGATAGGCAAAGGGTTGGGGTTAATCAGGCTTGTGGCCTTTCCAGCAGACTGCCTGGATAATGAAATAAATCTGCTTGATCCTAACAAAGATAGGCTTGAATACAAATCCCCTGGAGAACAGATAGAGCATTATTTTTCAAACTAGCACCTCAAGTCAAAATTTCATGCTTTCACAAAGAGGGGAACTAGTTAGCTTCAAGGTTATTGGTACTTTAAAAATAGCTTTTTTAGGCTCGGGAGAAACAAAGCAAAAAAAAAAAAAAAAAGGCAGCTCCTTGCTCTTACAGTTTTCAGACAAGCAACTGCTTTTGGATCCATGTTCGCATAGTCTCCAACTGCCCTGAAAATGGTGGGACCATCATGAAAACCCTTAAGCTATCACAGCTTCTCCTTATGTCACACAGAATCCTGAATTCTGCAAGCAGGGAAAGGGAGCGAGGAAGGGTGGGGCCGGGGGGGAGGGGGAGGAGGCAGCCTGGCCCTTCATGGTAGCACAGTGGGACCTGCAGCAAGGGGAGGAGGAGGAGGAAGAGGAGGAGCACCAGTTGCTGCTGCTGCTGCACTCCTTAGCTCTGCCAGCCAGTGCCGCTCACACATCAGAGTATGGTGGCGGCAGGAGGGGCCTAAGAGAGCCCAGCTTACGCAGGTGCAAAAGGGAGCTTATAGCTGCTGACCATGGAGACTACATTGCTGGTGCCAAAGTGCCACCTTGTAAACATCTGGCATGGGTGCCTCCTCTGATGCCTTGCAGTTTTACCATATATCACCTAAGGCTCCTGCATATAACCAAGACAGTTGCTGGTACGGTATTGTTACATACTCTTGGCAACAGCTGTTGGGGCATCTCAGCCAGACCCAGTCTTTGCCCATATTCTATTAGCAGTCCAAGTACAGTGGTACCTCGGGTTAAGAACTTAATTCGTTCCGGAGGTCTGTTCTTAATCTGAAACTGTTCTTAACCTGAGGTACCACTTTAGCTAATGGGGCCTCCCGCTGCCGCGGCGCGATTTCTGTTCTCATCCTGAAGCAAAGTTCTTCACCCGAGGTACTATTTCTGGGTTAGCGGAGTCTGTAACTTGAAGCGTCTGTAACTTGAAGTGTCTGTAACCCAAGGTACCACTGTATATAGAGGGGTTTGGCGGGGAGGGACAGACACTGATGTAGAATAGAATGTCCCTATTTTAATCAGAGGAAAGTTGGAGAGGATGTGCTCATTTATTGCATGACTCTCACAGTTGTGTTCAGGATGAAATATAGAGCTGAGCCTGATCATAAACAATCCTTCCCTATCAAAGTCAATTTCACAAGGTAGGGACGGGCGAAGCTGTCAAGTTCAGTTTCTCCTGCGTTTTTCATTTTTCTGACCTTAAATTCAGTTTGCCCCAATTGGTGGTTTGTTTGTTTTTAAATCTGCATTTTTGTGTGCATTTCTCTCAATATGTACATTTTTGTATGCAGTTTTGTCCAGTTTTTGCAAGTGGCTTTCCCCTAATGCTATGCAATTTTGGTATGCTACTTTTCACTAATTTGTGCATTTCTGTGCACACTTTTTGGCTGAAGGGCTGCATCACAAATTGGAGAGGACGGCACATTTTGAAGGCTAGCTGTGTTTCCGTTATAGCCTCAGGAGGTGCAAATTAGTTAAAATGCAAACCAAACAAATTTTCCCCCTATCCCTGCTGCAAGTTCATGTGTTGCTGCTTGCTGTCCTGCTGCAAGCGGTAGTAGAGGTGAGTCACTCTCACTCTAACTCAGTGTTTCCCAAACTTGGGTCTCCAGCTGCTTTTGGACTACAATTCCCATCATCCCTTACCACTGCTCTTGCTAGCTAGGGGTGATGGGAGTTGTAGTCCAAAAACATCTGGAGATCCAAGTTTGGGAAGCACTGCTCTAACTCATGTCAGGTTGGTTTGCGGTGGGGAGTCCATCTACTTTTCCAAGTTAATGGAAATAGGTTGGCTTATTTTCCAAGTGTTAGGGCCCCTCCAGCTTGGTATGCTTTTACTAGTGTCTTCTGCAATATGTTCTTGACACAATAATAGTGCGTTAATGGTGGGTTTATTCTGCTTGAGTTTTGTTCTACGATGTTTCCCCAATGCTACCACAGGATTGCTGTGCAGAGGTGCTATAGTGATGCAAAAGTGGGGCCAAAATTATTGGATTTCAGCTGAAGATTACAGGATATGCAGTGGCTGTAAATGAAGCAGTGTGACAGCCACCCCCCCCCCCCAATATCTGCATGTGCAAACAGTGTAGAAAGCAGGGGTCCCATATGACACCCCCTCCCAGATAGCATCATCAGCACAAATCCCAATGAATGTATAGTACAAAGGACAGCTGGAGGATCCTCTAGTCCAGGCACAGGCAAACTCGGCCCTCCAGCTGTTTTGGGACTACAATTCCCATCATCCCTGACCACTGGTCCTGTTAGCTAGGGATGATGGGAGTTGTAGTCCCAAAACAGCTGGAGGGCCGAGTTTGCCTATGCCTGCTCTAGTCCTTGGGAAAACTACATCTCCAAAGGACAAGCAGTATTTTGTTTTGGCCACAAGATGAAAGGAGAGAGAAATTTCCCTCTTCTCTTCCTGTGGCCAGAGTGCCAGTCCCATTTCTGCCACAGCTTGGTCAGTGTTCTTTGATGGGAACAGGGTTGTGTTGTGTTTGTGAAGGACAGGGTAAGCCAGGAATTATTGAGCACTGCATACTCCCAAATCCAGGCCAAGCAAGCTTCACTTCTTTAGTTAGAAGAACATCTGCACAACTATGGGACGCGTTATTGATCTCATGCTGCGTTCAAAGTCGGGATCCAGATAACAAATGAACTGACTCCTAGGAGGAAAACAAGAGGAAAAATTCCTTGGCTTATTGTGTGCAATGCAGAAACTATATTTTGCAACAAGGTTAAAACCATGAAATCCAAAGTTAAGTCCAAATTAGCACCCTCAATTAATTGGTGATAAAAAGCAGATGAGGAGTAAATTGAGGGAGGTTTTCATGGTTGTGCTTAGAATATAATTTCTGTTGAAGGGCAAAGGATTGGCAGAGGCCAAAAATAAAATAATAGTTGACAAGTACAAAGTGTGTCCTGGGCAAATTTTAAACAATATGACTGCAGAGGCACAAGCAATCAGGGCCGGCCCACAACATTTTGCTGCAAAAGGTAGAATGCCCTCCCTCTCCAATTCTGGCACAATTCTTAGCACTCTTAACATGACTGCCTCTTCCATTGCAGCTGAGGGCAGCAAACTACCTTAGGGGGACACAGGGGAGGCCAATATCTTGGCATTGCTGCTGCCCCCAGCACCCGCCACCTGAGTCAGCTGCCTCACTCTGCCTAATGGTAGGGCCAGGCCTACAAGTGACTTAAAAGCCAAAAATTAATATCATGCGTCATATTCAGGGATGCGCATGAGATGAAATGCAGGGGAAATCATGGGGGCAAAAGAGTAGGCTATTCCTTGTGATGGGAAAGGTATTGTATGGAATTATTCCAAATCCTTATTTGATGTCCTCTTCCTGCATCATTCACTCATTAAAGGAGTCGCTTCCAGTGAAATATCTCAAGAGTTATTTAACAGTAAAAAATATCAACAATGATAATTTAAAACCCATTACAGATGCAGACTGGAATACACACACACACACACACACACACACACACACACACACCTCTCTTAAAAGGCCAGTTGAAAAATGATTTTTTTAAAGGTTCATATCTGTTAGGGTTCCAAGGGGTTGCTCGAGAGCAAGCAGGCAAATACCTCCCTGCTCGGCTGTGAAGCCTTGCTTTTGATGCCAAAATAAACTTTATCTGTCCAGAGATTTGGAGAGCCAGTGTGGTGTAGTGGTTAAGAGCGGTAGTCTTGTAATCTGGTGAACTGGGTTTGCTTCCCCGCTCCTCCACATGCAGCTGCTGGGTGACCTTGGGCTAGTCACACTTCTCTGAAGTCTCTCAGCCCCACTCACCTCACAGAGTGTTTATTGTGGGGGAGGAAGGGAAAGGAGAATGTTAGCCGCTTTGAGACTCCTGAAGGGGAGTGAATGGCGGGATATCAAATCCAAACTCTTCTTCTTCTTCTTCTTCAGAGCGCCACTCTCCCGTGGCTGGCTCATTCACTGGCAGAATCCGTGAGTGGGCAGTCTTTAAACCTTCCCCAGCAAAGTAGTTTCTTGACGCCCAGTCTGCGCCTCCCCTCTTGGCGCGAAACCTTACTGCGCAAGGAGGGTGTGGGTAACAGGGGACCTCTCTCCTCCCCGCTTTGCCCAGGCAAGGTGTCCTGGCACCGCCTCGCCTCCTCTGAGCCCTGCATCTCCTCTCCACTAGAGGCGTGGCTTCCTTCCTCCGCTTATGAAGTGCTGCTTCCCACGATCTTTGGGGGCTCTCTGTAATCCATCCGGCTTTTCCCCTCTCCACCCTGAGCCAATGGCAGTTCCCTGACAATATCTATGCATTTTGCTCAAGTAAAACACTTAGAATGTGAAGTGTGGGATCCTTCTTTCCCCTGTGCACTCTGACCCTCCTACACAGCACGGCGGGATGCTATTTTTACAGGAAGGCAGCCTACAATCAATGCCCGCTTTCCTCCCTCCGTTCTCCGCTGGATTCTCCATCGTGGCAGCAAACAGCAGGTGGCAGCAGGGAGATTTGCGTGCGATGTTGTGGCCTCTTGTCTGCAATGATCCTGGATTAGTTTGTAACGGAGCTGAGGCTTGGAGGGAAATTAGATGTTGGTGCAGAATAAAGTGGTTCTGACAGACAGGAAAGATTATAGGCCATTTCAGTCCTACTGAGCATAAATGTAAAGAGGTACACACACACACACCAATGGTAGAAACGCTAGGCTAAATGCTTTCTAGACCTCATCCCGGAAAAGGCATTTCAGCTGCCTTCTGATTTGGAAACCGAGGGCTTTTTCCTCTCTCCTGAAGGCACCACATCCCTGCCTTGTTCAATAACATCTCTGCATAACAGTGCTGAGACAGCGGGGGCAAGTTCTTCCAATCCGTGGTGTGAGAAAGATCACAGCTGCCTGCCCCATTGACTGGGCAAACCTTCACCTACTGTATAGGATGGCTGGGCTTCCATGCATGAAATTTAATTCATTAAGTTGGAGGGATCCACACCTTCCTCTTCCAGTGCAGACACAGTGTTCAAAACAACGACGAGTCATCCATCAAAGGGAAAGCAGCACAGGAAACCATTAAAAGCAAAGGCAGGCACATAAAAATAATTTAACTGGTCATTGCACCAAAATTCTGCTGGTCTGGCATGTCAAATGCCTGCTTGGGGGAGGGGGGAACCTGCCTTATTTAGGTGGTGGAAAAGGGTCCAGCACACCTTCTGAGTTTGGGAGTCTCAAATCCAGGCATGGCAAGCAAGAAGGTCATGATCCATCCAGTTAGGACATCCCTGCAAACCATAGTTTGTAGCAGGAAAGCTGTGTTTTAAGGACTTGCTATTTTATCCGGATTGTTTTGGTTGGAATTGATGGTACTATACTCTGCCCTGAGATCAGCCTGATGAATGCTGTTAGAAATAGATGGATGGATGGATGGATGGATGGATGGATGGATGGAGACAATCCTTTAGATATCCTAGGTCCGAAACCTCCATAGCTATAAAGGTGATAATCAGCATCTTGAGTTGTGCTCCAGAAACAAACCAGAGGCTGATGGAACAAAGGTGTTATGTACCCCGAAGGACAACCTACCCTGTCAAACCCCTGGTGCCATATTCTAAACCAGCAGAAGTTTACAGAGAATCTTTAAAGGCAGCCCCCATGTACATTGCAGTAATCTGGTCTGGATGTAACTAAGGAATGCTTCACCATGGGCAAGTCTGATCTTCCTCAAAATGAGTGCAGCTGACTGCACAAGTTG